AGTTTCACCCCTTATTGAACTGAATAATTTTATTTTTTTTGAAAAATAAACGTTTTTGGGCCTGGTACCCGAAAAAATATTTCGCCTTCGGCGATATCCTGAGCTGTGCTACACCAGGTTACCTATATACATCGTCTGATCTGAAATTGGACCCCCTTCCAGCATATACCACGAGTAGCCACTGCTCTAAACAGTCTAAACCCCCTCCATGTAAAAGCTATATAGCTACGTCGTAGAACGTCGTACACTACAGGAGTTAAACTCCAAGCGCAGTTAAAATAATAATAATAATAATAATAATAAAAAGTTGAACATAAAACAAAAATTAAAATTAAACTTTTAAAACTACGTCAATGTTAAAAACGCATAGGTATAAGCTAACACAAACAATGAGAACAATGAACACAAAGCATAGAGAACAGTGAAATAAAATAAATTAAAAACCAAAATGAATGTCTACAACAAACGTCTCAGCGTGCGGAGACTAGCTGAGAACAGCTGCCGGATTACAATTTCACTAGTCGACACGAGTCGAGCTTTTCGTATATGCAACTTCAACGTTATTTCCTAGTCGCACCTTCGACTTCGAGTAATTAGAATCCCTATCCAGGTCGATTGTTGCGTAGAAAGTTCTCGTGCCTCAGACGCTACGCTAATACGGTACCGCTAACAATACGGTATTTCACAGGGTATTTTGTAGTTCTCGGACACGAAGATACATAATCCTCTAATTCCTTATTTTGTTTACATTTTGACAGCTGAATTGAGTGATCCAACTTTTTTTGCTTGTTTTCTAACTTTTATTGATCCTGGAGATTCCTGAGCTTGATTAATTTTCGCTTGGTCTTTTTTATGAAGGAATTATTAGAAATTGCTGTTTTTGCATCAGACATAAATGGAGCGAAAACTCGTTTTGACATAGCATAGCGTTACAGTAAGGCTTCCGTTAAATAGCGGGCTCCGCTAACGCTAATACCGATATACATACTTCAAATAGCGTTACGGTATTTGAAATTTGGACGGCACGAGACCTCTCTATTGTAGTTGCTCATCAAGAGGTCAACAAATGCACCCCAGCCATAATTTGTTCGATGAGTGGTCACAAAAAAGAGCTGGGTTTGCCTAGTTTGTCGAATTGGCACACGAAAACGGATTTCTGAAAGTAGAGGACTACAGGTTATTATCCCCTGGACCAGCCTATAAAGAAACAATAGCAGCTGCTCACGCCGTCTATTCCAATGATTCCAGGACACACAGGAGAAGCCTAATGCTGTGGTCGAGGTTTTCATGGGGAAAGTGATGTTTGTACAGGAGGCATTTAGCAAATTTTGCTCGAACTCTTTCAATCCGTTGTATGTGACAGTTGTAAAAAGGAGACCAGATCACGCATCAGTATTCAGGAGGTATCATGTAGATGCTTTGTGTTACGCTATGTGGTTACGCTTCACAGAGCCCCAGCATCCTAAACCCTCTGTCCACAATATTTTCAATGTGGTTCTGGTTATCAAAAGTTAAATTACTGTCAGATATCACTCCCAAATCATTATAAACGTCAACATGTTCAATTATCTGGTTTTCGGTGGTGTAGCCAAAAAGGCTGGGCAGTCCGGTTCTTCAAAAATTGCATTGACTTACATTTCTTGACGATCAATTCCAAAAAACTGTTCCTGCACCATGCAACAAACCGGTCCAAATCCGCTTGAAGGTTGACATGTGCGGACCCGTTTTCCAACAAAGTTTGAGGATGATTTGAGGTCATCGGCATACAGAAGAAACTGAGCGTTGTGGAAGCAGCTGGACACATCATTGACGAACATAGGAGGAATATTATTATTGGACCTATGTGTGACCCCTGGGAACACCGGAGATGATTTCAATTTCCCGTCATGCTGCCCCACCCACAGTACAATACTGCCAGCGCTCGCTAAGGTACGACCCAATCCAGCACCTCATACATGAAATGCCCATCTTGAAGAGCTTCATAAGGAGCAGCTGATCACAGACCCTATCGAAAGCCTTTGATATATCGGTAAAAACAACGTCGACTATGTGACCAGCTTCCAGTGAATGGACCAGGTAGTTTTGATAAACGGCCAGGCTTGTTGCTGTAGATCGACCCTGGTAAAAACCAACCACAACATCATATCCACGGAGAGCAATGTGCACCCAAACATCCTCGAAGAGGACAAGTGCAGGTGAATCAATTTCGGATGCATTAGTTCTTTTCACGTGGCTCCAGTTTAAACTAACCGGGTCAGGCCGGCCCAAGGTTACTTTTAGGATGGAGCGAGATCTGACTTTGGCGCCCCTAATTAAGTAAATGCGAATCGTCGTATACTCTATCCACCGATCAGATGTTCTAAGCTAAGTACCAAGAAAAAGTACTTAAGTATCAATTACAAGTTTTTTTTTAAATATGAATCAAGTACCAGTACAAGTATAAGTAATTACGAAAGGCAATACTTAAAATGTCAAGTAAATTGACTTAAATTGCCCAAACTCAAGTACGAATACCAAATTCCACGAAAGTCAGAGTCAATTCACTTAAACACCCGGCGCTGGCGCGCGTTTGCTGATTCTTGCTGCATATGTTAGCTCAGTTCCAACCGACAAGAGAACCGTTCCAGAACCCGTAATTTCGAGTTGTCCACCTAATTTTCAATAAGTTGAACATTTATTCTACTTGACAAATGAATTGATCAACTGGAAACTACCGTTCTAAAACGTTTCTCATGTCGGTTGGAAAGAAGCTATTATCGACATTATCGTATCGTTTTTGCGTTCTCACACCTATTGCTGCGTCAGTTTAAATAGGTTTTGCAATGTTTGCGTGTATTTATGACGTCACGCGATGAATAGATAAAATTTTATTTGGTCGTATCTACCTTATTATTCTGAGTAGCGATGCAAGATTTTCATAAGAGTTCTTAGAATTTTCCTTTATTTTCCGAATACAAGTTGTATTTTAAGGTTACACCCCCTTTAATAGGAGATATTCAGTATAGGCACCACAGGCACAGGAATTGGTATTGAGAGACGCCAGCTGGGCTCTTCCTACCTACTGGCTGGGTTTCGGCTGATGTCTTATCACAGACTTACCACCCTTTTGCTCGCAAGCAGAATTGCAGAATATCGAAAAACGAAGACATGATTCAGAGTAGTGTGTCTATCTGATTGTAAAAATCATAGCTCCGCTATCCTGGACTATTTCTCCATAAAATTTCAATATGTTGAAGCTAAAAGCTTCCTTAATAAATAAAAAAAAATTGGTTGATCTTGGTTTCCAGAATTTTTAGAAAAAAAAATCAGGAACGAGGGTATCAGGCTATGGCAAAGATATCACTAAGTGTGTATGTCTGATTGTAAAAATCATAGCTCCGTTATTCTGGGCTATTTCTATATAAAAGGTTAGTATGCTGAAGCTAAAAGCTTCCTTAATAAATAAAAAAATATTTGGTTAATCGAAGTTTTCAGAATTTTTAGAAAAAAAATCAGGAATGAGGCCATCAGACCATGGCAAAGATATCACTAAGTGTGTCTATTTAATTGTAAAAATCATAGCTCCGTTATCCTGGATTATTTTTCAATGAAATTTCAATATGTTGAAACTAAAAGCTTCCTCAATATGTTAAAAAATATTTGGCTCCTCCAGGTTTCTCAGATTTCCAGGAAAAAAATCAGAAATCAGGCCATAGGCTGTAATGCAGAAATATCACTCAATGGGGCTTTCGGATTAAAAAAAATCGTAACTCAACTATCTTTGGTTTTTATCCAATCAAATTTTGGTATGCCAAAGCTAAAAGGCTCCTGGATATATAAAAAAATTCTACATTGCCCAAAGTTTCCAAGATTTCCAGAAAAAAAAACAGAAATCAGGCCATAGCTAGGCTGTAATGCAAAAATATCACTCAGTGGGGCTTTTGAATTAAAAAAATCGCAACTCAGCCATCTTGATGGTTTTTTTCGACTCAAATTTTGGTATGTTTAACCTAAAAGGCTTCTGGATATATGAAAAAATTCCACATTTCTCAAAGTATCCCAGATTTCCAGGGAAAAAATCAAAAATTAGGCCATAGGCTGTAATGCAAAAATATCGTTCAATGGGGCTTTCGGATTAAACAGATTTCAGAAACATATTTTTCGCTTTTTTTTTTTTTTTTTTTTTTCACCAAGGAACAAGTCGGGGGCGCCCCTCGAGGTCTGGCGCCTGGAGCGCTCGCTCCATTCGCCTTATGGTAGGGCCGGCCCTGAACCGGGTTACAAAACGGTTAGAGAAATGACATACCATTTACAAAGTGACCTGATGGATACAAACCGGAGCCACGTGAAAAGGTTTATTGAGACCTGAAGATACCGCATCCAAAGATCCTCCACCACGCCGAAGACCAAGCATATCATAGTCTCTGTCTTGACGAAACACTGTGTAGCCATTCCGAAAATATTCTCCGTTAAGATGACCTGAAGATAGCCAATTCTCCGTAAACGAAATGACGTCATAGTTTAAGTCCTCAACACTGTGTGAGAATTCCCTAGATTTCGTCCTCAAACCCCTGATGTTTTGATAAAATAACGTCGTGAGGTCTTTTTTTGTTTGTTGGTGTCGATTAGACCTCACAGCATTACTTCGGACAACGCTTGCATGTCCATCATTGACAGGCGCGGGTATAAAAAATTACTAGATGCAATATTTGGGGCGCGGATGTTCTGTTTCGATTCCTAATTCCGTCTGAATTCCGACCCCAGGTCTTGAAGCCACACGGTGTTACTTTTTTGTCCAGTTCCAGGATGATAAATATTTGTTGATTTCGACGCTACTTGTATAATAGTTTTGGCAGATATATTTGGCCAATTCCCATTTGCCTTCATCAGTAATTTTTCCATTTACAACATGGCATGGCTTCAGGATTTTGTTACTCTCCACGTAGGTGATATTTTTCAGGTTCTTAACCTTTCAATCTTATTGTTTAGATTAAGCATGAGTTTGTTGAGCGCTGTTTTACCTTTTACAAAAGGTGCTCCTACAATAAGGGTGTTAGTATGCTGCGATGAGCTATGAACATCTTCTGGACTGGAACTGATCATTGGATATGGTTTTTCCTTTCCTTGTTTTCTCAGAACTGGTGGGTATAATTTTTTAGTCATATTTGTTGAAACGTTGAGACAATTTTTCATGGAAGTACGTTATATTTTCAAGAAGGCCGTTATCTGCATTTTGACAATTTGTATCGTACTTGTTTCTGGTGACTTGTTTGAAAATTTTTCCGTAGTTAAAGTCGTTTCTACTGCCCATTAGCAATATATAGGGTGTCCCCGCTCAATTGTTCAAAAATGCTAGGGTGGGTATATAGAGGAACCATAGAGAAGTAGTTTGAGATAGGACACCGATGGTCGGAAGTGCATTGTTTCCAAAATACAGGGTGTTGAAATTTAAACAACCCCCTTTCATATCAAGGGAGATGTTTATATTTCAACAACCTTCAACAGATTATTGATTTAGGAATGATATTTAAAAATCCGTATAATGCACCCCCATTTTCTACCTAGGGGGTTTATTAGAAATATGTAATTCAAATTCGTCTGAGACGGATTTATTAGCATTGAAATACCAATACCGGCAAACATTGCGAAGGGGGCTGTTGACTCAATTGCTTACATCAAGTAGGAGCAAGTGATAAAAGTGTCTAACTACTTACTACTTGACGCAAGTAGTTACTTGACTTGACCGAAACTATTTACACGATGCAAGTAAAAAAAATTCCTTGACTTTATCATTCTATATGACCGTTTACTTGACCCGTTTAAACTCGGCTGTGGCGACAATAGAGGACCCTCCGCCATATTCTTCCTAATTTTAAATAGAAATCTAGAAGTAAGCCACGCCTCCGCTGCCATATTCTTCCTCATTTTCAATATGAATATATAGGATTTTAAACAACCAATCATAAAAATAGGAGCGCAATGGGCCACTTTCACATTTTTCAAAAACATATTTAAATTATTCTTTTAGTCATTCTAATACTATCTGTATACTTTTTTCCGAAAAAAAAACGCTTATTTTTGAAAAAAAAATTAATTAATAATCGAATTTTTAAATTGGCGCGAAAACGCGTACCAGGTTTGTGACGCCACAAACCAGAAAATCAACAAAAATGCGAGGATGCCAAATTTCTCATTAGTAAATTATAACACATTTCACTATAGCTAGAAACTATTTTTGTCCTTTACTACATTATAAAAAAATATAGGATAGGTATCATCCTTATTAACTCATTTTAATTTCGCATTTCTACATGTGGCAACAAAAACGTCAAAATCGGCTTTAGCCAAAGCGTTTTCAATCACGTGATTTTTCGTTTAAATTTTTAGTTTTTATTTATTAATTTATTTAATAATCTGACTGAAATCTTGTAAAATATTGTTGATTCTCGGTTGCATTGATGTATCTGCGTCAAAAAATATCATAATTTGCCATATTCCCGGCACGTGAAAGTGGCTCATTGTCGCCACTGTGGTTTATTGAGCTATTTATTGAGTCACTGTTGCGGGAACATGAGCAAAGAAGTGTGATGAAGCAGGACTTAGAACAGGACATTCCTGGCATTTCTTTAGAGGGGATTCACAATGCGCTTAACAAGATGGAGAACTACAAAGCTTGATAGCAATCAAAGCAGCGTACGTATCATTTATATCAAACAACGTTTCCAGGATGGATCCGCCTTTTAATTGAAGGTTTATTATAGAAATCTCTTTTCAAAAAACTACTCTAGATAAAGTCTGTTTTTTTTTCTTTAAAGATAATTCCCCAAGTCAAAACTTTAGTAACTATGTTGCATTGAACTTAATGTCATTTTGACTTTTATCTTTAAAAAAAAAGAGACTTTACTATACTGGTTGTCCCCAAATTGAACAACACGAGCCGCCCCTGCGACGGTATGTCTCCCGCTATACCCAGTTTCCAGCAGCAGGATGATTAATTACGGAACGATGAATATGCATGAGGGAGCCCTGCAAGGCTGTAACTTTGGGGGGACGGTTGGGGGAGCCCTATGCGTTATCTGAATACTAAATACTTACAAAACTCCGCGCGTATAATATGTACGAATAGCGTTTTCCGCTCAAAATATGCGTCGAAATGGAAATGGAAAAATAAGTTAAAAGTTATATAAAACGGGCCAGAGATTTGCGCTGCGCAAAATGGAGGATTATGGGTATTGTGGGTACTTTGCATTTATAAACCCAGTACGAAGTTAGAAATTTTATATTTTGGTCTCCGTTAATTATTATGCTACGGAATGCTTTTTGGTCTGCTTACAAGAAATCCAAATCTCTCCTAAAATTTGAGAGAATAATAACATATATCATCCAACATTAATTAATAGATGTAGTGTGTAGTATAGTATAAACTTTAGGTATATACTATATAAACATGGTTTTTTACTGATTTTGAGCCCTTCCAGTAGTAAGTTCCATGGAAACTGGATCTTTTTGCAATCAAAAAAGCTGTTTTAACATCAAGCTGCACATCATTGTTCAAGACGCTTTGTTTAAACTTTTTCTCTTAGTAATCACCCCCTTCAAGTCTATAATTCTTTATCATTTTTTGACTTTTCTACTAGTTCCCATATGTCTTCTAAGACTCTCCGAAGTCTTCTTCAACACTATCTTTCCATCCTGAATCTAGTTATAGTTATAGTGTAGTGTAGTTGTAGTTATAGTTGGTTATAGCTTCTGAATAGGTTTGTGACACATCCGACATAAAAATCTTTTGTGAAAGTGCCAGCAAAATCTATTTTTCCATTAAACCAAACTTCATCATCTTCTGAAGCTCTGGTTTTAATTAGGGATAAATTGTTGTTGAATTAAATAAATTGACCAAATAAATTCCCTCCATACACAAAGCTACAATTTCATGCAAAACAAAAAGTATATAAGTACCTACTCAGGTTACCTGGGTGCGTGTCCGTCTTTCCCAATTCAGATCCAATCAATTTATTAAGACACATTCACGTATGTATGTAAAAACGTATTGCCACGTCAGATGCAATTTCCAGCTAATATATCTGGAAATGGGGTGCGCGATAACACACCCCAACAGCAAAACGTACGTCAAAGCGAGCGTATTAGCTTTCGCTCGGTATCTTTCATCTCATCTCGAATAACGCCTTTCGTAAGCCAATTATTTGATTGCTTGTTTCGGATGCTTTAGTGTATATGGGGAGGTTAATAAAAAAAAAAACATCATTACCCAAACTGGAAATTTTATTATTTTTGAAGCAGAAGCCACACATGACTTTATTTTTCCAGGAAATATTTGCTAATTCTTGAACGAGAATGAGATGATATAATTGGTTGGAAGCAACTCTAAAATCTCACAATCAACCCCCAGATTACTTTTGGAAATGGGAAAAAAGTGGCTTTTGATGATTCGAAAACATCCAAACTATTATTCCCCAATCCCCTGTATGCATTGAATAGGTACTTAAACAAAATTTTACGAGAATTCTAGAGATTCCTCGAGTGATTGGTTTCGTATATGTATAAAGCGCATATCAATAATAGAAGTTGTCAGTAGAGACAGTTAAAGTGCGATATTCGTGATGTAAAGAAATCTATAAGAGAGTTCATTCAAATTATTCTTCCCTAGCTAAATGAAATCATTTTTGATGAAAAACTGGCAAAAGTAAATAAAACATAAAAACGCACAAAAGGTCCCGAAATAATTCAATAAATCACCGCCCTAGAAAACGCCGCGATGCATCCCCCAAACAAAACCAAACAGATAGAATAATAAATGGCCAAACAAGACAGACAATTTACCGCCACATTACGACATACAAAGCGATGGTTTTATTGTGTACCAAACCACATTTGTAATGAGCAACATCTGGTGGTAAAAAAGACGGTTTATGTGTTTAACAACGTTTACGTTCGGGGGATGGTCTTTTTTGCGACGATCCCCAAGAGAGGATGTTAGTTAGTCCCTTTGGATTCAAGTACAGTTAAACCCTATGGTGATTCTGGTTTATTGACAAATTATTTTAAAGAAAATTAATCACACCATTTTTTTATTTGGTTTAAAGGTTCCCGAAGAAGAAAAGTGCGTTTTGGGCGATGAAAAATAGTTATTTATGATATAAGTGCTAAAAGTGACATTTTATTTTGTGAAAAGGGAAGTTTGGGGCACGACGCCGAAGGCGGAGTGTTCCATCCCTTTGAACAAAATAAAATCACTTTTAGCACGAAGATCATACACTATTTTTTCTACAAACGCACTAAAAGTGATTACTTTTAGCACTAGTGCTAAAAGTAGTCACTTTTAACACCAGTGCCATAAAATGACATTTTAGACACAGACAGCATACGTTGAAAATGACACTTTTAGTGACGTTTGTAGAAAAAAGGGTTTTTTCTTATTCTATACATTTGATTTTATGACAAATCAATTTTTCAAAAATAGATTCACTAAAGATTCTCTTAACAAAATAAGCCGCAGCAAATTTCCTAAATCCCACGTTAAAATCCGCGCCAATTACTTATCCCGTATCCCGTACTAGGTATCGGGAATTCCCACTAAAGCAGGAGATAAACCGGAAGGATGGAAGATCGAAGCTCTGTGCTTTATCCTAGACGGCTGCAGGAATAGAGATTCTAATCCACAACAAGACGATAGAATTTAGAAACCGGCTGCATTATTCTATCACCTGGCAAAGCTTTACTGTAAGCTGCCACCTGCTGCTGCTGCTGCTGCTTCTTGATGCTATGCTGAATTTTGGTATTTACGTTTTATTTTATTTGTTTCCTTAAAATCAATAGTAAAAAATTGAAATTGAATTTCTATACAGAATTATTCTAATGTTAGTCTTATTAAGTCCTGAAGGGAAAATTTGAATTGTGTATTTACTAACAAACGTCCAAATCATTAAAAAAATCGCGAGCCCCTATTTTCCATTATTATCATCCTCAACCCATCGATTTTTCATTTATTTGAGCATCAAACAAATGGGCACAATATATTTACAGTGAAAAACGTACCTATATGTATAAAGGGGAGGGTGACTCGTTCGTTTTATTTTACAGTAATTTATCTTAAAGTCGCAACAATGGGCTGTCATAATATGGGGATGATATGACACCTCGGACCC